CAGAAACTCAGAAATTCAGAAATTCAGAAATTCAGAAATTCAGAAATTCAGAAATTCAGAAATTCAGAAATTCAGAAACTCAGAAATTCAGAAATTCAGAAATTCAGAAATTCAGAAATTCAGAAATTCAGAAATTCAGAAATTCAGAAATTCAGAAATTCAGAAATTCAGAAATTCAGAAATTCAGAAATTCAGAAATTCAGAAATTCAGGAAATTCAGAAATTCAGAAATTCAGAAATTCAGAAATTCAGAAATTCAGAAATTATGGAAATTCAGAAATTCAGAAATTCAGAAATTCAGAAATTCAGAAATTCAGAAATTCAGAAAAAAAAAGTGAGAGAGAGAAAGAAGAGGGCACAGTGAAAAAGAGCAGGAGGAGGAGAGAGGGAGAGGGAGGTGAAGGACGCAGAGGGAAAAGGCCGGAGGTGAAAAGAAGAAGTTGAAGAGCAATTGGTACCTGGGATTCATGGAAAAAATAGAAAAAGAAATTTTGAAATTTCGAAAAAACAAATTCCAACAAAATGTATTGAAAGAGACAAAAATCATTGAAAACCTTCAAAGTTCGAGAAGAAAATTTTGAATTTTAAAAAATTACGATTATTCTAAACAATCTAATGTATGTAATAGCTAAAGCTTGAAGCAAACTACAAGCTAAACAACGTGAGCGACGGTGGTTATGGTGGCGATCTAAAACGCCGCCTATTTCTCACCTCTCTCTTAATGTACGAAATTTTTTTGAAAACCAAATTATGTTATATATTGTTTTGTAGCCCTTTTTACTTTCTAAATTTCAAAATTTGCTTAGTCCAAAAAAGTTAAATCTGAAGCAAATTACGAGGGAGAGGGAGGTGAAGGACGCAGAGGGAAAAGGCCGGAGGTGAAAAGAAGAAGTTGAAGCTCCTAAGTGAATACAATAGTTTATAATTTTTCGTCGCTTTTCAGACAGGGTTACTGTAGTTGAAAACAATGTGCAGCACGCGGATGTTTTGAAATTGAAATTAAAATTTTAATTTTAATTTTGTTCCACTAAACGATTGGGTTGAATAAAAGAACACCTCGAAATGATGCCATGGTATTACATACATTAGATTGTTTAGAATAATCGTAATTTTTTAAAATTCAAAATTTTCTTCTCGAACTTTGAAGGTTTTCAATGATTTTTGTCTCTTTCAATACATTTTGTTGGAATTTGTTTTTTCGAAATTTCAAAATTTCTTTTTCTATTTTTTCCATGAATCCCAGGTACCAATTGCTCTTCAACTTCTTCTTTTCACCTCCGGCCTTTTCCCTCTGCGTCCTTCACCTCCCTCTCCCTCTCTCCTCCTCCTGCTCTTTTTCACTGTGCCCTCTTCTTTCTCTCTCTCACTTTTCGTTGCCCTTGGCGACCGAAAGAGCACCCGGGGGGCCCCCTTGGGCTATTTTTCTCTTATTTTTATATGTAAAAATGCCGATAAATTCTAGCACTTTTGGATTTGCAGGTCCCTTGGAGAATTTGTGTTTGAGGTAATTTCTGAATTTCTGAGTTTTTGAATTTCTGAATTTCAGAATTTCTGAATTTCTGAATTTCTGAATTTCTGAATTTCTGAATTTCTGAATTTCTGAATTTCTGAATTTCTGAATTTCTGAATTTCTGAATTTCTGAATTTCTGAATTTCTGAATTTCTGAATTTCTGAATTT